AGAGAGGCAGAACAGAACCAGATGAGGAGCAGGCAAAAAACAGGAAATCCAGAAGGCAGGCGTGAGGTCAATAATCCAGAGAGCAAGGCCTGAGGTCTAGGCATGAAACTGTGAAGGCTTGAAAATCAGGGACCATGGAAGGTGTAATAATCTCGCACCGGTGGAGAGGGAGAATGGATCTTATAAAGGGTGCAGAGCAGGTGAACTAGATGAGCTGAACAGGTGAGTGGAATCAGGGCTGATTGCTGTGATAGGCTGAGGTGGTGTGGTGAAGTGAGCAGGCAGAGGTGCAGGTTGACAGGAGATGAGAATAATAAACATGAACAGAAACTATGACCAAGAGGGCAGAAAACATGGCATGTCATGAAGGGGTAGGGAAGTGAGCAGATGAGGGGCCAGCAGGGGCCGCTGATCATGACACTACAGTGTCAAAAGCTGCAGTGAGATCAAGGAGAACAAGGAGGAAGGGAGAACCAGTGTCAGCAGCCATGAGGACGTCATTGATAACTCTCATCAGTGCGGTCTCAGTACTGTGAGCTGCACGGAAGCCAGACTGAAACTTTTCATACAGGGAGTGTTGTTGTAGGTGGATCTGCAGCTGAGCAGCAACTGCTTTTTCCAGCACTTTTGACAGAAATGGGAGGTGAGAAATTGGGCGGTAATTAGAAAGAATGTCTGGATCCAAATTTAGATTTTTCAGAAGAGGCCTAATGATGGCAGTTTTAAGAGGCAGTGGAACATGACCAGATTGTAGTGACTTATTTATTATTTATGTGATTAATGGGCTTATTGGAGATTGGATTTTATGAGAGACGAGGGGAAGGAGTCCAGGGCGCAGGATGAAGGCTTCATTTTCTTGATGATGGTCTCCACTTCACTCTGAACAACCTCATCAAAGCAGCTCAGGGACCCAGAATGCAGACGAGTAGATGGCATATGAAGATCAGGGAGGCTATGGAGCTGAGATCTAATAGAGTTAACTTTGTTTTAAAAAAAATGAAAGGAACAGGTTGCATTTTTGAACAGAGTCCTCATGAGATTGTTTAATGGGATTAAGGAGATGATTTATTGTGGAGAAGAGTTGTTTAGAGTTTACAGGGCAGTTGTTGATGATGTTGGGATAATATTTGGACTGTGCTTCTTTAGAGAAAATGCATAGGCTTTCTGATGTTCTTTATATGCCTGCTTATGTACAGAGAGACCAGATGATTTTACACGTCTCTCAATAGCACGAACAGCTGCTTTCATCTTGCGCAGCTCACCAGTGTACCAAGGGGCTGAACGGGAGAAAAACACCAGCCTTGCTTTAAAGGGAGCATGGAGGTCCAGAAGCTCCTGGAGAGATTGGTTATAGTAATCCACAGAGTCATTTGCAGATGAATGATTGACAGCAGTCAGGGAGTGGAGATCAGAGGACAGAACCTCAGGAGAAATGTTTTTAAAGTCACAGAACTGGATAAGTCATTAGGATTAGGATTTGGAGCAGACCAAGTTGAAGGCACTTCCAGGGAGATGACACTGTGGTCCGAGACACCCAGGTCATATACAGATAAGTTATTGATAGGCACAGTGTCTGTAATCACCAAATCCAGAGTATGCCCCCTGTTGTGCGTAGGGGCGTCAACATATTGAATGAGACTGAGAGAGTCCAAAAGAGACAAAATCTGCTGCCAGAGGGGAAGAGGAATTATCAATGTGGATATTTAAATCTCCAAGAATAATATTTTTAACAGGAGAGGCGCAGAAAAAAGTGAGGAATTCATGCATTTCTTAGTTAAATGACACATGTGGTTTGGGAGGTGGATAAATCAATATAACATTCATCAGGAGGGGGGCTTTGAGGTTGAAGGCCAAACATTCAAAAGAAGAAAAGTCCTGAGAAGCCAGGTGGAATCATTTTAAATTACTGCGGTAAATTACAGCCAGACCACCACCACGGCCAGTGCAGCGGGCTCTCTGCAGGTAACTGTATCCAGAGGGACAGGCTTCATTCAGAGAACTGTACACATCTGGTTGATGCCATGTTTCAATAAGAAACATGAGATCCAAGTTCTTCTCCAGAATATGATCATGAATAAGACGTGATTTATTGGTCAGTGATTGAGCATTGAAAAGTTCTTTTTTAATACTGGTTGGAGTAGAAGCCTTTTGAAGAGGTTAAAGCAGACTGAAGTCCACTCCACGTTTTCCTTGCCACTTCATGCGCTGTGTTCTTTCAGCAATATCAGGGACTACAGATGTAACGTTCTGATGATGTAATCGATGTGCGGCAGGACCAGTAGACTAGATGGAAGGGATGGAGTCAGACCCAGCTTGCCGAGAGTAAACAGGTAAGCGCAACAATAATAGCTGCTAGTTCTTCAAGCAAAGTCCGAGCTGCCGTGCTGGAGTTGTAGGTTGACAGCAATAGTCCCAAATTCCGGTTAGGGAGTGCTAATTATGCTGTCTGTATAATTACTGTTTGACAAATCACTAAACAAAATAAGTCCAGATAAATGTCCACGAATATAGCAACAGTATAAGGACTTTTTAGCGCGGAGAAGCGGCGAACATACAGCGCCAGCGTCCCCTTCTGCACATTCCCTGGACGCCTCCCTACTTTTAGCTTTTATCTGTTTAATCTTTTAAGAGATTAAACAGGAAAATAAATAAAACTGTGTGGTTCATGGAGTAAAGTTTCAACCTGACCAGTGACGGCATGTTTAGTCGTATGTCGTCGTTTTAAGTGTCCAAGAGACCAAGTGGAAGGGCAGCAAGGCTCGCAGTATTGGAGCAGGGTTTAAACTGTTTTACCATGGTGTGGATAGAAAGAGAAATGGAGTAGGGGTGGTCCTGAAGGAGGAGTTGGCAAAGTATGTAGTAGAGGTGAAAAGAGTGTCAGATAGGGTGATGTGCCTAAAGGTAGAAGTAGAAGGTCTGATGCTAAACATCATCAGTGGTTATGCTCCACAGGTTGGATGTGATGTGGAGGAGAAAGACACATTTTGGAAGGATCTGGATTAAGTGATAGAGAGTTCATTCCCAGGGAGGAGAGAGTGGTGATCAGAGCAGACCTGAATGGACATGTTGGTGAAGGAAGAAGAGGGGATGAGGAAGTGGTAGGTAGGTCTGGTGTCAAGGAACGAAACGAGGAAGGACAGACGGTGGTGGATTTTGCCAAGAGAATGGAAAAGGCTGTAGTCAACACTTATTTCCAAAAGAGGGAGGAACATAGAGTGACCTATAAGAGTGGAGGAAGGAGTACACAGGTCGACTACATTCTGTGTAGAAGAGGAAACCTGGGGAAGATTGGAGACTGTAAGGTTGTGGCAGGGGAGAGTGTGGCCAGACAGCATCAGATGGTTGTGTGTAGAATGACTGTTGTTGTGAAGAAGAGAAAAAGAGTAAAATCAGAGAAGGCCAAATAGTGGAGTTACTACAGCAACAGTAATTAGAGAGACAGGTAAGAAGGTACTTGGTTTGTCATCTGGACAGAGAATGGATGATAAGGAAACCTGGTGTTGGAATAGTGAAGTGCAGGATGCCGTTCAAAGAAAGAGATTAGCCAAGAAGAAATATGACAGTGAGAGGACTGAAGATAGGAGACAGGAATATAATGAGATGATATGTAGAGCAAAGAGGGAGGTAGCTAAGACAAAGCAGAAGGAGCAGATTAGGCAAAGCAGATTAGGAATGAGAACATAAGAGGTACAGCACAGGTTGAACAACTGGGAGATAGAGATGGTTTGGACATGTCCAGAGGAGGGACAGTGGGTACATTGGTAGAAGGATGTTAGAAATGTGACTGCTGGGAAAAAGACAAAGAGGAAGACCAAAGAGGAGATATATGGATGCAGTTAGAGAGGACATGGAGGTAGTTGGACTGAGGACAGAGGATGCAGAGGACAGAGTGAGATGGAGGAGGATGACTCATTGTGGCGACCCCTCAAGAAAGAAAAGCTGAAAGAAGAAGAAGGTTTAAAAAACGTGGTTTTTGTGACAATGTCAAGCTGTTTCAGTCGTGGTTTCGAAAACAGCCCCTTCGCTTTCATATATGGTGTGTCATCAAGCCAGGGATCCAATCATGCAAGACCACCAGATTTCTATTGGACAAGGCTGGAGGTAGCTGCAAAAACGAGTAGTCTCATTGGAGAAAACACCTCTATCCCTGTCGAACAAACAACCCCTCCACCTCTGTTCTGATGGAAGTTATTTGTCAAGCACCAAAATATCTACAGGAAGAAGAAGAAAAGGATGTTGAAGTTGAAGGAAGTTTGGTGGCAATAGAGACACAGCAAGAGTGGGAGTGAGTAATGAGATTTATATTTTGTGTGTTTGGATTTTGTAGTTAGGGTGTAACTTAGTGTGTTTAGTCAGTTTTAGTGTGTTTGAGTCAAAACAATGAGGCAATTTTTGAACGTAATGCTGCTGCTTCTCTTTAAGGTGAAGAATGGAGCCACAAAAAGCCAGAAAAGGACTAAGTCTTGTAATCAGAACCTTTTCAGACAGAACAGGCAGAGATAAAACAAACAGAGTCTGAGACAGAGTGAGAACTTTGGCAAGGAAGTGGGATATCCATTATTTGTTTTAAAAGAGGAACAAGAGGAAGAGCACACTAGAAACCTAGACCATCTTGGATCATATGCTAGAAACCTAACCTGCTCTGAAGCAGGTTGGGTTTTTGGATTAGAAACCACATGTCAGTGGGATATCTCTCAACCAATGTCCTTTAAAAAATCTTCTTCACTCCAACAAATTGATGTCATCATTACTACAAACAAAACTCTCAGAAACTTGAACTTTGCCTGAGGCAAAACCTCATTCCTGACCCTGAGGGAGCATCCTTCTTTTACCTGTTTTTATCTTTCTATTTTTGCTAACCAGTTTCATGGCGCATAAAACCACAATTTCTCATTTCTAGGGTTAGCTGAAAAATACCTCCTAAATAAAACCAATATGTTAGATATATTCCTCTCTGCAGAGTCCAGAGCATAACTGTGTTTAGGCACCTGAGTACTCACCTGTCTGTTCAGGTGTTTCAGGTACATGCCACAGGCTCTGCAGAAAGCTTCCAGCAGCAAACCAAATCGCCTGGAAATAGTGTTATTGTGCATCTCTGACCTGTAAAAACACATTCAGTCAAATCACATATCAACTTGTGGGCAGGTGTGCCAAACAGGTAATATAAACAATATTTTTCATATAGTGGTCTGTTTTTTAATAAAAGGAAGTTTACACTGACTTCAGGTGCCAAAAGAAGAAGTGTCCTATCCTCTGGTTGGTCAGTGCTTTCTTAATGAGGAATCGAGCCAGAGGATTGTCCAGGTACATCTCATACTTTAAAACCTGCAGAGACACACACATTACATTATATATTAGCATACACACAATCATATAAAAACTGAAGATGGGAGAAAATATGTGGACACACCTGTACGAGTTGCAGCAGGTACTGGGACAGCTTGTCATCTGTCAGGCCCTGCACCAAGCAGCGCAGAGCAAACTCTCTGACCATCGGATCAGGAAAATTACAGTCCAGGAGCTCCAGAGCCAACTCTGGTTCCATCAGAGGCCACTCCTTCAACAAACAGTACATCTGAAGGAAGAAGAAAAGGAGGAGGACACAGGTGATACACAAGTCGAACTAAAAGTGTTAGAGAAATCATCCATACTGTGATAATGACTTTCTACCTGTGATACCTCGTCTCTGGAGTTCCATTTGACTGAAAGAAGCAGCTTAGGAAGAGACTCTGGCATGTTTATACAGTAATGTCTGCAGGGAGACGGGCAGGTACAGACAGACAGGTAGAGATGAGCAGAGAGAGACATACAGGGTGAGAAGGACAGGCAGACATACAGTAAGTAAGTGACAGACAGATACAAATGTACAGGTAGAGTCAAAGAATAAAGTCAGAGACACAAGTAAAAACACAGCTACAAATAGATGCCCCTCCCCAGAACAAGACCAAAACAAAACAGAATTGAGTTCATTTTGGTGAGTTTTATTTTCCAAGAAAAAAGTGTAAGATATGAATTACATTCAATTCAATATTTATCCACAGTTTGATTTCAAGATGCAGCAATTTCTATACAAAACCCACAAAAAGTTGGAACAAGTCAGATCAAGGCTGATAAGCAATACGCTCAGGTCCCCCACCAATGAGGGATTTGACTAACAAATGTTTGCAGTTTTGAAGATGAATGTTTTTCTGGACTGGAATTGAACAGGGAATGTAAGTAAACCTTAATGTTTTTGGTCAAAGATAATCAAGTGGGTAGGAGTTACACTGTGGCGAAGAACAGAGGAGGGTTTATTTTTCTTGTCCGAGGCAAAGCAGAGTGACGGAGAGTGGAGGGAGACATTTTTGTCCACCACCAGAAACAATGGTGGAGCCAGTGGGTGGCCAATGGTGGCCATGGCCACCATAAAATAATCTTCAACTATCCCAAGAGCCACCTCAAACAATACATTTAAGCTGGGCTTAATTTGTAAACTGATTGATGCCAGAACAGCGGGCAGGCGGAGGGGTGGGGGGGTGTTCCGTGGGTCCTCTCACAGAAAATTTTGAATAACAGAAATACCATTTACTGCATTCTGGTGTAGCCTATTTTAACAGTCCAACAATTTTCAGTCAGGTCACCTGGACAGTTTCTTTTTTTGTGCTGAAACGTTTCACCTTCCATCCAGAAGGCTTCATCAGTCAAGGAAATACACAACACAAAATGTTGGTTACGTACTGTAACCCCAAATTCTATGAGTATAGGCGTATCCCTTTAAGACTTTTGCTAGTGGGTTTATCCCTAAGGCGCTCAGCGCTGCACTGAAAAAACTTTAGTCCACGCCCGCCTGCTGTGTGTGGACCTCAACCCCGGTCCGTATAAATTACGGTGAGACTGGGTAATCGGCTCCCAATATAGCTTTTTTCTTCAGCCATTTAGGAACCAGTGAGGCCCAGAGCTTAAAGGGCTACGCCTATACTCATAGAATCTGGGGTTACAGTACGTAACCAACGTTCTATTTCATATAGGCTTCGCCCTTTAAAACTTTCGTTAGTGGGTTAAAGGCGAAGCAGGATGTAGTCTATGCCTCATTGAGTCCATTCAGACACAAGATGAAGCACCTGCTTCCACAAAAAAACAATTCATCACTCAGCCTTCTGTGTGCGTAATTACGCACTGCGTAATTGCATGCTCCATGCGAAGGAGCACACCGGAGAAAATTTCTGGTGAGGAAAAAGGCTGAGATAACAGACCTGCTGCTGTGAATAGGAACAACGGACCGGGGTTGAGGCCCACACACAGCAGGTGGGCATGGACTAAAGTTTTTTCAGTGCAGCGCTGAGCGCCTTAGGGATAAACCCACTAGCGAAAGTCTTAAAGGGCGAAGCCTATACAAAATAGAACTGATTATTCCCCCAACAGCTTACTCCAAAGTGGAACAAACCAGTTATGTTGGTGCTAAGATGGTGTCTTTGGCACGCCCCCTCCTCTGGAGCCAGCCCTCTTCCTCGTCAACAGTCATGTCAAACTGGTTCAAAACCAAAACAGTCCATGCTCAATAAGCCAAGTATACAATCCAACAATTTTCAGTCAGGTCATCTTTCTTTTTTTTTTTCTGAAACGGGAGTTTTAACCTATATTAACAGGTTATTATATATCAACATTTACCTACATTTTTAAACACTTCATTAAATCACTATTTTCGAGAAGAACAGCAGGTTGTGTGCAGCAGCACTGAACCCCCCTCCACCTCCCCTCACTTCATGGTTCTGAGCTGAACTCCTCCGCTCCTGCTCCAGTCTTGTGGCACCGTTTGAAGCACCTGAAGGCTTCAGTTCTCTGTTGTCCAACTAAGGACAATCCATCCATCCATCCATCCATCCATCCATCCATCCATCCATCCATC